GCTGGCAGGAAAGTTGACATTTTAAACCTTAATAAAAAATCGATACAGGGCTTTAGAATATCGAAACAGTATCGGGAAATTAAATATCACGATATTTCAGTGTATCGATATTTTCTTACACCCCTAGTTCCTAAGAGCACAGCTGTTATCAAAGCAACTCTAAACCACCTGATATGTTGTAACTAAACATGTTTATTCAATTCAATTCAATTCAAAAATACTTTATTGATCCCAGAGGGAAATTAGGTAATGTATAATCTAAATTATAAGATCATAAATAATTAATATTATATATTACACTGATAATGTAGTCCTTGTGTAGATTATCTGTTACCCTGGGCAAATAGTTTAAGAAAGAAAGCAAACAGACTTTTATTTTGTAGTTGAAATGTTTCCATCCAGAGAACTCTCCAAGCGTTAAAACTTCACTGTTACACAGATAAATTCACCTGCACAATGTTGTCTCCATCTGGCTGCCAGAGATGCTTTGGTCACATGACTGAAGGTATTAATTATTCAAGAAATGACTGCTTAATTCTCCTGGAAGTGTTTTATAGATTCTTGATGCTGAAGGTGAAAACATAACTTGCTCACATGGCAATAATGTGAGACCACAAACGACTTGAACCTGCTGCAGCTACCAGGTCACTAGCTGGCTCTGTCACTTGTTGCATTTCCATAATACATGCACGAGCACAATCACTTCATGCAGTCTACAGAGCACTGTCAAGACTTGGTTACAGAGTAAACCTTCCTGTCAAAATTCATTGATTCATCGATTTCAACAAGTCATCCAGGTCCTGCTTCAGGACCTGGATGACTTGTTGAAAATCGATGAATCGTGAATTCTGCTCTCTAACAGAAAATCACCAAGTAAAATGTCTGAGCATTTGTGACAAGTTCAACGTGTTGGATTCTGCAGCAGGAAAATGATTCAAATCACAGCTGAAAGTATTTTGAGAACAAATTATTTTCAGTTTTGACAAATACAGCAAGTACAGCTAGAGAGCACTAAAGTAAAACCTTGCTTTACTTTGATATAATCATCTATTTAATGACCTGAAAACAGAAGAAATCTGTAGGGGCTTTATTTTCAATAAAACTGATATGTGTTATGGTATTTTGATTACATTTTATTCACTGTATTTACCTCCATGACACAGTGTGAATGACAATGAAGTTGAGTTTGAAAGTATAATGTACGTGCGTGTGTTTGTGTGTGTTTGTGTGTGTTTGTGTGTGTTTGTGTGTGTTTGTCCCTCACAGTACGGATGCTCTGGAGCAGCGACAGTGAACCGTTTCTTCCTCGGTGTCTGCTTCCTGTTTCCTGCTGAAGATAATGTCCGCCACCACCATCACTCTGCTCCTCTCCAACATCATGATGACCAGCTGATCCGCTCAGGAATCCCTCTACACACACACAAACACAAACACACACACGTGTGTGTGTGACTGCAGACTCGCGGCTTCTCTTTACAAACGTATTTCCGGGTTTTCAACTGAAGGAAAATTTCTTCTTGGGTTAATTTTGGTAGCTGACAAACAAGACCAGAGCGTTGCCGCCACCATCTGGTGGAATATGTGAACTGTAAATAACTTCATGAATAAAATAATTGATTAAAAAATGTTTATATATGGCTGTTACAGATTAAGTAATAAAGTCTGAGAGCCAGGATGAAGACCCTCAGGGCCCACTGCACAGAAACACTTAAAACACTTGAACTACCCTTTGTCTTTTCAAAATAAAAGTTGCATTAGCATGTATTTATGTACGTACATACATGCATGCATACATACATACATACATACATACATACATACATACATACATACATACATACATACATACATAC